GATTTTAAATATATATATATATACTCAACTGTTTGACCTAGGCCAACTTATACTCAAGGCCTGCCAGTGTGAAAATATTCTTTTGTATGTTCGGTAGCCTTCGTGAAACTCCTACTGACTGCAAGATGGCGCTACTCTTCTGCTATACTTTGTGATGTTTATAATAATGTCAAAATGTACCAGAAATGAATACTATCATGTTATATGCAAAATTTGAAAATGATTATTCTGTAGTAGTCAGAAATTGTACATTTCTTCTTAATAAAAATACTTTTCTTTAAAAATAAAAGCATGAAATGGCATGGCAAGGTTTTGAAGAAGAGGATTGATAGCAACTTATATATCTTTGTAAAGCATTCCAGATATGCTTGATAGGATTCAGATCCAGTGATTAAGCTGGCCACTCCATGTGCTGAATTAACATGCTGAAAGTAACTCCATGCTGCTGAAAATAATCATCCACAACACAAATCTTGTGCTGTCTAGCATTGTCGTCCTGCAGCAGGAAGTTATCACCTATTGCCCTGGCATAAGGGCATACATAAACATCAGGGATGTCATCTCTGTAGGGCTGAGCATTCATGGTTCTATGTGGAAAGAGATGGAGGTCTGTGCATCCACCCAAAGAGATACCTCCCCAAACACAGACATTGCCTCCTCCATGTTTGAGTGATGATAATGGGTTCCAGGCTCTGTCCAAATTAAGTGACACCTACTATCATCCATAAAGCGAATAGCCCTCCATTGATTATTAGCTGTTCAGTAGGCATGTTGACATGCCACCTCAAACATTCCGTTCTATGACATGACGTGAGTGGCACTCAAATGGCTGGTCACCTCGTGTACCGCATGGTTGATGTTAACACCAAACTTCCAGTGTCTGCAGCAAGGAAGTATCTGAGTCAAGTCGGAGTTGAGGTTCTATTCCTTCATGCGCATGACAACAAATATATGTCATTATGCTCGTCATAGCAGTTGGCTGTCCTTTGCTGAAACTTGTTGATGTTGAATATGTGGTTAGATATTGTTGCCCAGGTCTAGGACTCAGATTTAGCCATCTGGACACTTTTGTCTGACTTTATCCTGCCTCTAGTCTCCCAGTAGCTCTCCATCGCAGTCTTTGGGCAAATAATGCCTGGAGATCATTGTTACAGATTGGTCGGCTACCCCAGATTTCTTATCTCCATGTCACAGTGAAATTTGTAGCTTCGCTCTGGAACATGCAATTTTATGCTTCTCGCAGATGATGTATTTCAATTTCAGTGCCACTAATATGCATACTGCAGTTTTACTCAGCAATTCTTATTTGACAATGTACTCAAATTTTATACGGATTGGCTTATTTTTGAATGAGTTATCAGTATTTTTTTTTTATTTTTCCTTAATTTGTGGTAGATGTAGAATGAGGTATACACACAATTTTATAAATTCATATGTACCATTTCCATTCCAGATAAATCGGAATGAGTTGTACACAAAGTTTTGAAAATAACAGTGGCAGATATGCAAGCATTTTAGAATAAATTCATTTAAATAATTTCATTTATTTAAAGTAAACTACTACTTTGATTTTCATTTAAATAAATGCATTAATGCATTTTATGTAAAGGGATTTTAATTCTAGGTAATTTTATGTAAAGAGAATAGTATAAGTATTGCTCATTATGTACATACATGTTTTAAATCTTTGACAGATTAAGTACAATCCCAAAACAAGGAGCAGTTAGTTTATATGCACACCATATGTACACGACATTAATCACAATAAATCATGCATAAAATTTTGAGACTGTAAGTGCTGAATACCAAGTATTTTTATATCATTGACAGCATAAAATAAAACATAAAGCCATTAATGAAATTAATTTCATTTAATGAGAGTAATATAAATATTGCTCATTATGTAACATACATGTTTTAAATCTTTGACAGATTAAGTACAATCTCAAAACAGGGAGCAGTTAGTTTATATGCACACCATTTGTACATGACAATAATCACAATGAATTATATATAAAATTTTGAAATTGTTAGTGCTGAATACCAAGTATTTCAATATCATTGACAGCATATAAGAAAATATAAAGCTATATTCCATAAAAAAATGTATTATCAGTATTAATTACATACAGATATGGATATCTCCTGAATCTGCATTATGTTAAGTACAACCACTGAACATTCAACCACCTAAATATACATTCATATACAACATACAGATACATGACACTAATTAAAATGAGCTTTATAGTGTAAAATTTTGAAGCTATTACATAGAGTATTCAAATGTTCCTGGGTCAAAGATAACAAATTGAAGAGTTTAAAAGTAATAAATTTCATAAAAAAGGTACTGCAATTAACATTTCTTATAAAATATATGCATGGATGTATTCATAAATTTTAATTGCATGAAATTAACTTCTCAGTGTTAACAATTGGAAAAAAAAAATCAAACATATCTCATATATATATTGTTGCGTTTTTCTTTCTTTTCTGACACCAGTTGTTACATTATTTTCTTCCTTTTATGTCCATACGGGGTTCATAGATTTGGAGTGAATAACGACGACACTTGATGAAGTATCGAAACACACTTTATTTAGCTACTATTAATTAGGACAGCTCCAAACTCACTTTTACAGGCGTCAAAACTGTTATAAACAAGCTGACACGTTCAGCGACACAGCCTTCACACTGTCAGGCAATAACGGTGGAGACAGCTTCACCACAAAGCACCTGAGTACAGCTCCAAACTCTGCTTGGTTGTTCTCGGAACTCCACTCTCGAGACTCTCCACTTGCTGCACTCGACGATAGACAAGAGTATAGCTCTCGCCTCAGCACAGTGTAAGACAAAACTCGACGATGCACTAATTTACGATGCGCTAAAAGACTCTCTCGATGCACTCGACGACCACCTCGGTGCTAAACTTCGAGACACTTGCTCAATGACTGACTATCAGCTCACTAGACGAGGCACACGCACACTAACTGACTGCAGACCAGCTGGGCTTATATAGCTTTCGGATTGTTTCGTATTGTTCGAGAACATTCTGGGCTAAACCAGTAAGAATTCGTTCCAGAAGATTTTCCATCCATCCATGGTATGTCGCCAAATGTGGCAACCCTGTCTTCCCTTGCCATTTTATGGCAACCCTAAAACTGCTTTGCAGGGAAGTCATCTTACCATGCCTGTACATTTCGTAACAATATGTATATATATATATAGAGAGAGAGAGCAGGTTAAAATATCTTTTATGTAGTGAATATAGATTGCGTCCACTATGACAGAAATACTCATTTTTATGACAGAAAGATTGATATCTAATTTAAGAAAAATAATAAATAATGCAATATAATCAGTGCTCACAAACTATAGGTATACACATTGTTACAGGTTTCAACACACTGGAATGTACACTTAGCATGCAGTATCATAAACTAAATACACATCAGAGAGGTTCACAGTGCAAATCAGATAAAAATTTGCACAAATGTTTTTATTCTTTGAATGCATTTAGATTAAATTTACATGAGCTAAGCATACAGTGATTTAAAAGGTATTACTTACAGATTCATTTATTTCACGAGAATTGTTAGGGTACTATCACTAGAAATAGGGAGCAGTAACTTGCATGAAATGCAATGAGAATAGAGGTCTGAATCATAAGGATCAAACAAATTTGGAGCTTAAAAACAGATTTTTGATAATGCATTACAGTAACTGTAAGATGACAATATTGAGCTGAACACATATTAAGCTTAGGAGAAAAACATTTCAAAAGAATTTTACAACTATAAAATTTTATGTGATGATGGTTTTTGCTTTAAGAAATTTTGTATTATGCATAGCATTTCCATCAGTTTTATATTGCAAATAATTATTTAAATACAATCATAAAAACTTTGTTAAAAGGAGGAAAACTTTGCAGTATGGCATGCAACAGTATACCATCATTAGCAAACAGTGATACTTTTTAATAAAATACACTTTTTGTTATTAATGAGCCACATTACAAATGGTAAATGTACAGCCAAAGTATAGCAGGTCACGAGCACCATCTAGTGATTAATTTCATGAAGTGTACTGAAAACTGGGAACTGGAATTTCGTTCAGTCTGACAGGCCTTGAGTATAAGTTGGCCGTGGTTTGGCTAATCACTAGTCTGAACAGCAAAATATTATTATAAAATAATATTTTGCCATTTAGACTAGTGTTTTGTTCACTCATTACACTGAATTTTGATTACATAAAAATACTTTCATATTCAACATGGCAACGTTTGAACATATTTTTTATATTCAATATATGGATTTTGAAAAAAACAAATGAATTTTACTTATCTAATGATAGTGCAACCAGTAGCATTGGAGAGGAAAAATAACATAAAGATGGTCACCATGGTTGCTTTTAATAGATGACATTTGAGAAATTAGTGGCACTGTAATATATTGAAACTCTATACTGACTATTTCATACTGTATATAGCTTTCCTTTTTAAAGTTGTTTTTGAACTTATTCGTGCATTATCGAACTTATTGTAAACTACTGACTTAAAATAACTGCAAAGCAAGAAGTCTAGGGGTATTAAATGATATTATCTTGATGTCTAGTTCACATTGCCATTTGTTGAAATTTACCTATGAAATGGCTATTGTTTCACCACTTGTGTATCTGTTTTTGAGAACATTTGTCTTTGAGGTCTATCTGAAGCAAATAGGGAGGCAAAATATTTGACCATTTGTCATTGTTATATGTCTTTTTTACTGATGGTTAACGCTATTGCATTAGTGATCTCAAAAAAGTATTGGACCCATTTATCTTTTCTGAATTGACATTTTTGTTAAATCATATTTAACAGATATTTATAAGGTTACCTAACCAGAACAACTTACATTTTGAACATTGAAAATAAAAAACCCTTTGTTAAGCTCTGTTATTTCATAATATTGAGAACTAAGATTAAAATTTTATGCAAGTGTTCACTATATAATTTTTAGAGATACCGCACGCCATCTCCGAGTGGCAGTCGGTCTGGTAGCGAAACACCTCCGCACTGGAAACAAGCGCAGTCTCGTCTACGCAATATCAAGGATGTTCTGCCCAAAAAAGAAGTTACTCCTTCAGATGAAGAGTGAGTCATTAATTGTTTTTGGAAGTTTTAAACACATTCTAATATTGTATTAAATTCTGCTTTTAAAATTCATTTTGTTCCCCGAATATTCTAATTCTGGTTATTACAGCTTATTTGTAAAATAATTCCTTGTTCATCCTTGAAAGGAACTTGGAATAAGAAGTGAAAAAATGTAGGAACCTAGAATAAAAAATAAATAACAGCCAAGAATTTCTCAATGATCTCGGTGAAAGGGATTTTGATCTCTTGCATATATTAGGCTAAAAGGCAATTTGATGTGTGTAAGTTCAAGCACTTGGGGTAGCATAACAAGGTAATTCATATTTGATCACCTGTATCCCATTTTTAATAATTTTTCTCTTGTTAATAATGTCTTATTCTTTTAAAGTGTCTTTGAATTTGGAATCTGAACAGATTTCTGACTCAATTAATGTTTTTAATTTTGTGGAATTCATCCAGATAAATTATTCAGTATATTAAGTTATGTTATACAATTTATTATCTAGAGACTTCTTTCAATTTTAAGATCTTTAAAATTTATTTTAGTAAAAATTAAATGTTGTAATATTTTCCCCCTCCCTGGTCTCTCATTACATTAAATTTTGAGCTGTATAATTAATTATTGTAGCTGATTTTAAATTAATAAATCTTGATCATTGGTAATTACTGTTCGCAAAATGTATATAAAAAGATTTTATTCATTTTTCTTCTGTAGTGTAAGAGGATGGTTTTTGCAGAATTTTTGTTAAAGAACTTCAAAAGGAAAACTGAATGTCAAAACTTTTGCTACAGTTAATTGCATATTAAAAAAAAATTAACTCAAATGAAAAATAGACTTTTGTAATTGCTTAAAAAGTGGTATTTGGAGACTTTCCATTGATTAATGACATTACATGAAATGCTTTCTGGTTAAAGAATTCCCAGAAAGATGATTTTTTTTCTTCATTGTTATTCTTTTTCGGCTTTTTTAATGTTACATTTTTGTCATTTGCACATTTTTGATAGGGATCCAAATTTTTTAAATATTAACGGAGAGAATATTTTTTTTCTTTTAGCTGCATTTTTTTTTGGTAATTTGTGTATTAAAACTTTTTTTAATGCATGAATTCATATTTTCATTTTTCATACTTTCAGTTTTTTCCTTCATTAACTGTAATATTTGATCATAAATTATGTAAAATACTTAGTTAAAGCCATACATATTTCTAGACAGTCAATGTATTCTTTTATTCTTTGTTATTTTTTTAATTCTTGTTATTTTAATTTATTTATAGGCATCATGTACCTTTTTATTCTTTCATTTTTGCATTTAGATATTTTCTTATATAGTAAAACAAAATAAGTACTTTTTTAAAAGCTTGTTTCCTTTTATACTTCAAATTTCTTTGTCATGTATTATACATTTTTGGTTCTTTCCATGCTAAAATAATATTTTCTTTTTAGTCCAAAGGGGCTTTATCTGAGAAGGGCTATTGTTTTCATTTTGTGATTTTGCATTGAATCACTACAAATGTCCGTTTCACTTTTCAAACTGTTGCCATCAAATGTTGGAGTCTTGCATTATATTTGAAGAAATTAAATAATGAAAAATCTGCATAAATGTATGTATATTTCTCCTATTGTGGTAAAACAACGGTACATAGAGCCATCGAATTTTGCATGACGTAAACCTACTACGAATATGGGCATGTGGAAGCCCAAATTTGAAATTTGGAATTTGTTTTATTAACGATTTCATATTTTGTAAAACTTTAACGAATTTTTTAGTAACAAACTCAACGTTTTGAAAGCAAGCAATGGCAACATTCTACTGGGGGGGGGTTATCTCAAATGCGTGGAACTGTGTATCGGAAATTCTAAACATAGGCTTATTTTAAAATTATTTTGTGACATTGCTATTGAACTGAAATTTATGGTTTAATATTTATGGTTAAAAAAACGCCCCTTTGGACATAATTCAAAATCTGAAACCTTTTAGGTTTTTGTAATTAGTTTTAATCCGTGTTTATTGATAAATTTTCTTCTTTATTAAAATTTTCTGCAAAAATCTTCTGAGGTAAAATTTTTATGAGAAAAATCAGCTTGTTTCTATTTGCTGTGCTTTGCTTTTAATTACAATGCAAATTTCTGTATGGTCCTCTTGTTTCATGGGTTGTTCCTTCCCCTTCTCTACAGATTAAAATTTTTTTTAAAAAAGTATTTTTTGTAAATTTCAATTGTCATTTTTCTTTTAGCTTGTCTACAAAAAATAAAACACAGATCAATTCATAAGGTATAGATAATAGTTATTTACACTTTTTTTCTTTACTGTTTGCGATCAAATGAGAAAGGAAGCTAACTCGATTTGTCTTGTAGTTTTTTTTTATTCTTTCCCTGTATGTTAGCTGGTGTGTTAAACTGAACAAGCATTGCAAAGTATTTGTTGGTAAGTGGATTGTGAATGATTCTCAGTTTTTGCATTTTTCATGTATTTAAACATTTTGAAATGAGGTTATAAAATAATATCAAGGATGGACAAAAATTTTAATACAATGATTATTTTACATAAAATATTCATAAGATGATGTTAAATTTTTATGAATAGCATTTATTAAGTTATTTTTTTTTAACTGTTAAGTTTTCCAAAGTCTTACTAAAACTGTTCTGCAATAATATAACTTATATGATAGATTATTATAAAAATATCTGAATTTTATACCTACCATTTATATATTTTTATTCTAATGTATCATATATAATTGTTTAAATGTGTTGCTCCCATTGCTTTATTTCCCTTTATGTTTTTAACCATCTGATTTTTGTAAATTGATATTAATGTATTAAGCCATACTAATGCTATTAAAAATAGGAATTTTTTTAATGTTTATGCTTTTCATCTTTATACTTCCACTTTTCTGTTTAAAATATGGTAATCCTTGTGTAAAGAAAAGGATTTGATCAAGAGTGGTGTATATTCTGGTTTCACAGCAGCTGGACATACATACCAGTCAATAAATAAATTGTGAATTTCTCTTTGGTAATTTTCCAAAAGTGCTGTGATAACAGCTCGCGAGAAGAGGTTATAACCTTTTTTCTTTTTGAAACTGAGTCTGACCCAGGATAGTGATAATTTAGAATAAAAAATTGTAAGAACTTCAGTTAGTCACTTTTATGGTAATTAAACTGTCATCAGTAGTTAAGTTCTATCGATGCTTAATGTTTGCAGCAAAGTTTGCTTTCACATTTTTCTCTGAACTTCTTTTAAACTGCCCAAGTTTAAATGCGGCATTTTTTGTATTATATAAAATATCTTGAAGGGGAAAAGCTAGTCAATCTGATGTGTTTGTAGCGACCGTTAGGTATTCTGGAGCAAAAAATGTGAAACATAATTGACCCTTCACTAGATTTTGATCTACAAATCTTCCACTTGTTAGTTGGGCATGTCAATCAATCACTTATACTACAAGAGTATGCCTGAGGGAATATGATACTTTTATATATTCTTCCCTGCTTAGATTGACTGGACAGAGGCACATGACCCAGTTAACTGAATCCAGGTGGTGATGAGTTACCATCTACCATATTTTACTGCAGCCACCATTAGACATTTTACCCCAAGAGATATCAAAATGAGTGTCTTTGCTGAAATTTAAATTAGATATCTTTCATTTGCTAACTTGGTGTATGAACTATCTACATCATGAAAGTATATGTGAGGGAATGTGATAATTCCATGTAGATTTATAGGTGAACTAATTTTTTCTAAACTAGAAAGTGATATTTTTTGGTATGCATGTCGAAAAGCATGTTTTCTCTCAGTTGTAACAATCCTGTTTTTCAGTACATGTTTTAACTCTCAGCAGTTTGTTATTTCTTCTAATCTATGTCTAGTCTTTCGGTTATAACTAATGACCATCCTGTGGTTGATTTATCATTGCCGTGGATTTGTAGTTTGACTATCACAGATGTCGAATCTTATTGTTAAAAAATTGCTAATGGATTTCCAGCTCAGTGTAGCAAGTTAACTGAATGTGATTGATCAATGGAATATTTCCTAGTGCCTGTTTTCTTGAAAAATATTTTCTGAAATGCAGTCATAAATGGCTGTTTTTACTAAGCTGTTTATCTTGCAGCTTAAGTTGTACTGATGAAGTTTATAATTAGTAGCCAGAAAGCCCAAATAAAGAAATGAACAAATCATTAAGCTTCTTTGGCATGTTTTAACATTTATGAAATACAATTCAAATCATTTCTAGAAGTATAAGGAATTAATTCAATTTTAAGTTACACAAGAACTGTATATACTGCTTACTCTGTTAATCATACTTTCTTGAATGTGTAATAAAAATACTTAAAGAAGTTTTTTTGCAGTAAGCTAATTGTTATATTTAAAGTTTCATATATTTTGAAATATAAAAAATGCATTTTAAGATACATTAGTACTATTATGCTGATAATTTCTAAAAGTGATATATTATTGTTTTTAGATCTGAAGAGCCTGAAGATGGTACATCAAGAAGTACTTACCTTCAGAGTAGACTTGGGTATGTAATTCATTTTTTTAATGAGGACATGAATATTGGTTTGCTTGTTTTCCAATGATGGTGAACTAAAGCAAATGACCAGAGACTTTTAATTCCAATAGGTAGAAAACCTTGAAAAGATCAGATGAATTATTTTTTATAAGCCTTTTTTTTTTTTACTTTCTAACTTTTACAGCCAGTCAGTTTTACAAATTTTGCAATTTTTAATAAATAAGCATTAGATTTAGCATTTAGATTTATGATATTTATCATGTTGATGCTAAATCTAAGTATTAAGCATATACCTTTCTGATTATTTAGATATTCTGATTATTATATTGAAACAAGTCCTTTCCATTTTGGGATGTGAAATTTTTTTTATCAGTTGCTGATTGTAGGGAATATTAATATTTTAGTGATTTCAAGACCATTTTTATGTATAAAAATTTTGATTTAATGAATTGTGAATTTTAAGATGGCCTTTTTTAACTGATATTACATTATCAGAATATCATTAAAATAATTTTTTTTAAAAAGAAAATTGCATTACAATGAAAAATTTTTATTCCCTTCTGCCATGTTTAAAAATATTTTTCCTGTCCATTTTGGCAATTTTTCAGTATCTTTATTCTGAAATTAAAATTACTGTTAACTTCAATTTTTGAATTACTTTTAAGCTGAAATGTTGACATGAATATGCTAAGATTAACTTCACTTGTCTCCCTTTTTTCATTTTTTACTGTTTTTCCCTGAATATTATTTTAAAATACTCATATATGTGTCAGTTTTCATTCTAAAATTAAATTTATGCACTTTATACCTCCCTGCACCCCCACCCCACCAATTTCCCCCTCCAAAAATCTGGTTTTTATTCATGAAGTTGTCAAATGCAATTAGCTGTAATTTTTTTTAAGAAAGCAAATACAAAACTCATGTTCCACAAGGTATGCCACAGGGCTTACAGAAGTAAGTAAACTGCTGAGTAATACAAAGGTTATAATTCAGTACAATAATGCATATCTGTAGAAAATAAGGAATGTATGCAATAATACAAATAATGCTGTAATAGTGTTACTAAAATATAATACTATCAGAAATATATAATAATAATAATACAAAAATAGTGATAAAATAATACATAAAAATAATATAAAGGAGATATTGTACTATAATAATACAATATATTAATATATAAAATGATAATACATGGATAAAACACAATAATATATATAAAAAAAGAATAATGCAGTAATACTTAAGTAATAATGAAAGCGTAAAATACGAATAAAGTTGTGCGAGACAGCAATAGTCTTGGAACTCTTGACTTGGTTAGAGAAAACAGGCCAGCAAAATGAGAGATGCCTTAAATTAACCGTAAGTAATTCTGGCACCTGCGGTCTAATAAGATATGATATACAGCAAGGCTTTTGAACCTTTTTCTTGCATCAACCCCTTTTAAAAGAATGGTTTCCTTCATCAACTCCTCTCACATTTTGCTTTATTATAGAGCATATATCAGGGCTTTTTCACAAAATATGGAAACACCAAAATATAAACATATTGCTGTGACTAAAAATACGGTGCAGGAAAACCATCTTTTTGAATTGGATAAATAGAGGTCTTGTATGTTTTGCCGCCCCAAAGTCCTGCTATGCTGCCTCAACGTGGCGGGGGGTTGTCACTGGGCGGAACAGGTGAAGTACGTTGGGAGCATAGCTCCTGGTAGGGCCACCCTAGGCGTGAAGGCCATTCCAACATGCCCAGCTAAAGCATAGCAGGTGAAGAACCCTCAGGGGATTGCCGTCTTGGTGATCGGGTGTCACACTCCCGGGTGGGCCCCAGTGACCTTTCCTCCTCTTTCTTTCCTCTCCTCTTGTCTAGCTCTCTCTCCTATTTTTCTCCCTTGTGGTTTCCTCTACTGGAGGTTGGGGCTCACTGTGAGATGCAGCTACTACTCTTGGTTTCTGTTTCACCATGGTGAGAATACCGCCTATGCGTTTGCCGTGCATGGTGACCCGTAGGGTGGGAAAGGAGGATCCTGGCAGTTGAGGGGCGAGGTACTGTCCCCAACACACTGCTTTGTCCTCTGCTTCTACTTAAAACGGGAGGCACTTAGATGTCCCCGCTAGTGTCAATCGGCTGGCCACTAGTCCTATTGGTCAGTGGCTAGGGGATAAGCTCTCGGAAGTCTCCGCTTTTGGGAAAGCCGACTGTGGGGCTTCAGTTTGCGTATAGGCCCGGCTAGCCCTAACACAGGGATCTGTGTTCCCTTGTTGGGCTCCATGGTGGGTGGGGCAGTCGGGCCCGAAACCTTTCCTCTTTTCAATATGAAAACTTTAACTTCTTCTCCTAACCATATGGATATGAAAAATTCTGGAGCTGCTAAAAGAATTTGAACTTCGACCTTAATTAGCACAAACAAATGTCCAAAGTTCTTAGTTATCACTGGTGAGCTAGAAAATCTATCACCATTCTTCATCCATAAGCATATTGTGGCCTCAGCAGGCGAGCCAAAACACATAAAAAAGCTCCGTTCAGGATCTCTGCTCATCGAGACTACATCTGATGCACAATCTTCCTCTCTCCTAAAAATGACCAAAATGGGGGAACATTCTATTACTGTATCCCCACATAAGTCTTTGAACACGTCAAGAGGTGTCATTTCGGAAATAGACTTGATATCAGTCTCTGAGGATGAACTTTCAAAAGAACTCGCCGAGCAAAATGTATGTGGGGTCCGCCGAATAAAAGTCCGTAGAGACGGGCAACTCGTCAACACAAAACATCTTATTCTGACTTTTTCTCCTCTCCAGAGCTACCGAAAGCCATTAAGGCAGGTTACCTGAATTGCCCCATCAGACCTTACGTGCCGAACCCACTGCGCTGCTTCAAGTGTCAACGGTTTGGCCATGCGAAGGCCGCATGCCGGGGAAACCTGGCATGTGCTCGCTGTTCTGCAGGTGGTCACGAAAGTCAGGATTGTGTAGCTGATCCAAAATGTGCAAACTGTCATGCAATCATCCAGCATACTCACGAAACTGCCCTAAGTGGAAAGAAGAGAAAGAAATACAGCATATTAAGACTACAAGAAAAATCTCCTATCCTGAAGCTAAGAAACTTTTTAGCACGGGTCAGTCAAAAGCAAATGTCTCCTATGCACAAGCCACTAAATCATATCGGTCAATAAGTACACAAACATCGCATAGCACACAGAAGAAGATACCTGAACCAAAAACAAATGACAAAGAAAAAGTTTTTCTTCTACCTCCTCCCAAACAGACAATAGAAAGTCGAGAAATAAAAACACAAGAAACAGAGAGTTCAAAAAAGAAAATCAAAAGCTCAGAAAAGAGAAGCTCAAGCCGAAGCTCTATTGAAGGGACCTTTTCAGACTTTATCGAATCTGAGATGGAAACAGATGGAGGCAGAGATCTCTCGAAAAATGTTCTACCTCACAAAACAAAGAAACAGCATCGAAGCAATAAACATTCCTAATGGCTACTCTCATTTCGTGGAACTGCCGGGGCTTCTATCAGGGTATTGATGGCATTAAGCAACTTATTAATAAATATCGACCTATTTGTATAGCGATACAAGAGACATTCCTCAAACCTGGTAATTTTGCAAAGCTACGTAGGATACTCGATGACAAGAAAGGATAAGACATTCAGTGAACGCGCAAGTGGTGGTGTCTGTCTACTCACCTCAATTAATTGCCCTTCGAGTGCTCTCCCTTTGGATACTCCTCTCCAAGCAGTTGCAGTACAGTTGAGCATTCGAACACTGACTACTGTCTGCAGTATTTACATCCCGCCTAATGAGAACATTAATTTAAGAGATTTAGAGGATCTTAATTGCCCAACTACCAGCTCCGTTTATTCTAGTCGGTGATTTCAATGGACACAATCCCTTGTGGGGTAGTAAAGACACAAACCCACGAGGGAAGCAAATTGAACAGCTACTCCACGACCACTGTCTCTGTATCCTTAACAACGCAGAAAGCACTTATTTTCATCAGCCAACAAGGACCTTCCATTCCATTGACCTTGCTATTGTTTCTCCACAGCTTTTGCCTTTTTGTTTCTTTAATGTCGAGAATTATCTATATAATAGCGATCATTTTCCTATTATCATAAGCATTACAGGAAATAGGAGTGTTTTTATACCTAGAACACCACGCTTTTTGTTGGACAAAGCCGACTGGGACTCTTTCATACATTATGCTCTTTTCACTGAAGAAATAATAAAGAATGTGCACATTGATCAGGCTGTGAAGATCATTACAGATAAAATTATTCAAGCAGCTGATATATGTATACCAAAAACGTCGGTAAAACAGCCAAAATACCCAAAGCCCTGGTGGAATCCTGAATGCCAGGACGCCATCAGAAAACAAAGGAAAGCTTGGAGCATTTTTCGGCGATATCCTTCAGAATCAAATCTCGTAATATTCAAAAGGGCTAAAGCAAAAGCTCGGCAGGTGCGAAGGAAAAGTCAGAAGAATTCTTGGATCTCGTATGTGTCTTCGATTAGCTCTTCAACTTCGAGTAAGAAGGTGTGGGAGAGAGTCCGGAAAGCGTCCGGTATCTACAAAGAGCACACACTTTCCATTTTAAAGACAAGTGGTGAAACAGTTACTAGTAGGGAAGAAATTGCCAACGCTATTGGACAGAGTTTCTCAGCCGTCTCACACAGTAGTAACTACCCTCTTGAATTTCTTTCCGCAAAAAAATGCATTGAAAAACAACTAATTAATTTCAACTCTCCCAATACTGAACCATATAATCAGGATTTTACTGTGCTTGAACTGAAAAGAGCTCTGTTGCAGACAAAAAATTCATGTCCTGGTCCAGATGATATTGCCTATCCTATGCTGAAACATCTTCCTTCCAAGTCATTGGCAAGCCATCCTCTTTCTCTTTAATAGAGTATGGAAGGAACAAGTCTTTCCAAATGCCTGGAAAATAGCTTTTGTCATCCCCATTTTTAAACCGGGAAAAGACCCTACTAATCCGTCGAATTACGGTCCCATCGCCTTAACTAGCTGCCTCTGCAAACTCTTTGAAAAGATGGTCAACACTCGTCTGGTCTATTATTTAGAGACAAATAATTGTATCTCCTCTTATCAGAACGGTTTTAGAAAAGGAAGAGCAACTATCGATAATATCCTACTCTTAGAAACAGGTATCCGTAGAGCGTTCGTTAGAAGAAATCATTATGTTTCCATTTTCTTTGATATAGAGAAAGCCTATGATACCACCTGGAGATACGGTATCCTTCGTGACCTATATAACAATGGTTTACGAGGAAACATGCCGATATTCATCAAACATTTCCTACAGGATCGGAAGTTTCATGTGAAGATAGGCGATACACTTTCTGACATGTTCCATCAAGAAGAGGGCGTTCCGCAAGGAAGTGTATTAAGTGTTACATTATTTAGTATAAAAATTAACTCTATTTTAAAACAACTGCCTCCAGCAGTCCAGGGTATGCTCTATGTCGATGACCTGCAAGTCAGTTGCCAGGGAGAAGACCTGAAAGACATTGAATGTAAACTGCAGACATCTCTCAATAGAATTGTTAAATGGTCACAGGAAAATGGTTTTAGATTCTCTACTCAAAGACTGTGTGTGTACAGTCTTCGAAAAAAATCTTTAGGTGAACGATATCTTAACTAATTTTAGAAAAGAATAAAAAAATGAAAACCTTAAGTCCTGCTCCAGGCGATCTAAAAAAAGAAAATTTTCTAAATAGATCGGAAGTATGCGCTCAATAAAGAAAAATTTCCTCGGTTGTCATCCAGAGATCAAGGAGAAAATTATTTATCTTTACACGCAAATTATAACAAGAAGAATAGATTTCATTTTTAAATGAATAGACAAACATTGAACTGTAACAATTTCGGTTAAAGTAATTAAGAAATGTTTAATTTTTTTCTTATAAGATTTCATGAAGTTTCAAAATGAATTTGCTTTATATAAATGTTTGTTTCCTTTTAGACAATTTTAAAACAAAGGTTAAATTTTTTTGGAACAGCACCCTCGTTAATTTTAGCTACAAGCCGCCACTGCAAGTTATGTTAATTAATTTTAGTTTACTTTAAAATTAATGCATGCCCATTTTATTAAGACCTTGATGAAGATGATGAAAGGTTGTTATACTGCAATGTTTACTAGCCAGGCAAAACAGGAATTGTTACCACTTCACCTGTGATAAATATATGTTGCAAGCAAGTGATTAATGAAAGAAATGTACAACTGTGCTTTGATTAGTTCATTTTTTAAAAGTGCAAATATATCAACAAGGCATTAATTTATTATGGAATAATATCATAGCATGTTTCTTCTCCTACCTGCTGTTTGACATTGCTATTGACCACTTTAAACGTTTGACTGCTAAGCAATTCTTGCAAGAATGCACAAAAACTGCAGGACATATTTTGATTTGATGTCAAATAAAACCCTCTCATTTAGACAAATATCAATCAATTTTAATAATTCTTTTTGTATTATAAAGCAACAAAGACACACTGAAACTCACAGCGCAAAAGCGCTGTGTCGCAGTTTTCGAGACAAATGAACGCAGTGCTTTTGTGCCACGTAGCAGTCAAACGGTTAAACATATGGCTTTACAGTCTTTATTGCGACTTTATCCAGAATAATTGTGAAACTAGATCTTTGCTGAAAGACTTAAATTGTTTCCACAAGTATTGTCAGAAGATATCCCGTTGAAGCTTGTACAAACAGATCAAGGAAGATCTACCATCTTAAATCTAAAGGAATGTATATATTTTAAAGAATGAGAATTGTACTATTAATTTGTTTTGATTGTTAAAGTTAAAATACATGGATCAAGGAAGATCTGTTACTCTATGATTAATAGAAAGTATTTTTAAATGTAGTTGAAATGTAACCTATAACTACTGTTTATTTATAATATGTGTTAGTATGTAACTTAAAATTTTCGAATATTTAACTATTGTATTAGACATGTCATCTCTGTAATATGTGGCTTACACTGTACCTATAATTGTTAATTTATTTTGATAAGTATTCGAAACATAAATTGTAATAATATGTTGTGTAATAAAGATGTTGGTGAGTCAACAAATCTTTTCAGCCAGGAGACCTCAACATTCTTTAATTTCCTAGCCTATGGTCAGTTAGGGGTATTCAAACTGTTCAATAAATTTATACAAATTTTGTTATTTAGCTTTAAAGTTTTCTAATTTTATCCTGTGGCTTCGATGATACCTCGACTAATGAGATGAAAATCAGATATTTTTAAGTTTATGTTGTAACTGTTTAGGTGTAAACTGTTTTATGTCTTAAATTGGAAGGTGAGTTTATGAACATTAGGTTGCTGTACTTTGTAATAAAAAATAATGTTTATTTTATTTTTAATACAATTTTTAACAAATTGCTTTATTAGGTGTTTCACTATAATCTGAAGCTATTGAATAGCAGCTTCATATTTATTTATTTTCATCAAAACAATTGTGAACTGTTACTGATAGTTTAAGCAGAGCATTTCCTTTACATATGAATTTTATTCAGCATTTCTGAGTGTTTCCATTTTTTAATGCTTTGTTTCTTTCTCATTTTAAGAACCGTAAAAGCTAATGACGATCCTAAACCAAAGGATGCACGTCTCAGTATACAGGAAAACCGTAGAATTAGGGCTGTAAGGTAAGAAAAACTTTTCAAGATTTTAAAATTTTAATGTTGCGTTCTGAAAATAGTGTTTGAAGTTTTTCTCTACTGTTATTTTCTATAAAAGGAGTTGTAAAATATTTTTAACGATTTATGAAATACAAATAGCAGATGCTCCCTAGAAAACTGTCATAACTATATTTGTTAGTAGTTTTGTTAAGTAAAAAGAATGAAGATTTTTATGTGCATTAATTAGTGCAATCCATTTTAATGTTACCGTTGATCTCACTCTAATGATCTTCTCAGTGAAGTAGCAATAACAAACCAATTATCATTCTTTAGACCTATGTTTTATTACTCATTATTTCTTATTATTCATGCCCACCAGCGGCCGAGCGGTAAAGACGCTGAACACTGGTAGTTCGGTCCGAGGTTCGAATCCAGCGAACGGGCTGGCTGCATGGGCGTTTTCGTGGTTTTCCCCATGTGTATACGACCCAGTTTCCCTTAGAAAGTCCTCCACGAAAGGCATCCCTCCCCTCAGGCAGATAGCCCTAGCGTGCTTTGCCATAATTAAATACACATCTTATTATTCATGATTTTGTCATTCTACATGTGTAAATAATTTTTTGGTACTTTCTTATTATCCATATAGCCCTTCATTTCAATATTTAGCAGGATTGCCACATTTTTTTAGTGTACTTGTGACAATAATTAACTTGTGCATCTGTAAATAATACATGTGTATGTGGGATTAACAGGCTGTATATTTAATCACCATTTTGATGAACAATATCTACAATTAGTAAAAAATATAGATATCAGTCGTATAGATTATTTTTTCTGCTAAATTTATTCTTTTTTATAAAATCCTTCTTTTTATTATTATTTATGAACAGAATAGTACCTTTGAGCCATAAAGACTTCAAAATTTACATTTTTGGCCGAGCCAGAAATTGGGCAATGAGTTATTTTCCGTGACTGTGCAGATAATCAGAAAGTATTGTAATTTACAAAATTAAAATTTTTACTTCTCTGTAGGAAGTAAAGAAAGTATTATAATCATGAAAAATTTTGATTATCAGATTTTAAGCAAATTAAACATTTTGACTATTTTTTTGCATGATATCTGTACGTACGGACAGAATAAGGGACTCTTTATTCCAAGACAGATTGTAAAATGGGTTATTTGTGATGTCTATACATACATACATATGTATTTTGCATAACCCAAAAATGATTAGCCATAGAACATTGAAATTTTGTATGTGGAATTGCTGTAACATCTAGTTTTGCACCTCTTTCATTGCAATCAACAGTACCAAAATTATGTATATATATTGGTCCATATAAAAAGTTTCCATGGGTTTTTGGTACATTTTTTTAACAAAAATTTTCTTTATTTAAAATCAATTTCAATCAAGTACTTATTGACCATTGTTATCTGCGACCTTTTGCCATTTTTCAGGTAGCTTCATAATTCTGTCTGTGTAGAACTTCTGTTGTTTATTGTCGAAAAACTTGGCCAAATGATTTTCAGCAGTGCTTCGATTGGTCAATTTTTTATCATCAAGAGAGTTTTGCTGAGACCGAAACAAATGGTAATCAGACAGGGCAAGGTCTGGGTTATACGGTGGATGCATCAAAACTTCCCAGCCAAGCTCCATCAATTTGTTCCGAGTCATCAAAGATGTGTGTGGGCGTGCATTGTCATGATGGAAGACAACTCCTTTTCTGTTGGCCAATTCTGGTCACTTTTTCTGGGTTGCTTCTTTCAAACGGTCGAGTTGTGTACAGCACAGAGCCGAGTTGATGGTTTCCCTAGGTTGCAGCAGTTTTTAATGGACAGTTCCTTTCCAATCCCACCAAACGCTCAACATAACCTTGTCTGTCCAACAATCAGGCTTTGAGATTTCAGGCTTTGAAGTCGTTTGTGGAGGGTTACCATCCTTTGACCATGATCGCTTGCGTTTGATATTCTCGTTTTTCATCACCTGTAATGATTCACTTCAACAAAGGGTTTGATTTTGTTGCGTTTCAGCAACATTTCACTGATGGTAATTCAGTCAATCAAATTTCTTTGCGTTAATTCGTGTGGCACCCAAACATCAAGTTTCATTTTGTGGTATGCTCTTTTCAAATGATTCCAAACTGTCATGTGGTTTATGTTTAGTAATTCAGCTATTTTCTGACAGTTTGCATGACAGTCTTGCTCCACAGTTGCAAAATTTCATCGACTTTTTCTGTGACTGGCCAACCAAAGCGAGGTGCATCTTTGACATCGAACTGTCCAGAACGGAATCAAGCAAACCACTCCTGGGTCCTTCGTTCACTCACAACATTCTCACCATACACTTCACAAGTTTTTCTGTATGTTTTGGCAGCATTTTTACATTTTTTATATTAAAAAAGCATCACATAGTGTATTTCTTCAGATATTTCACTTATTTTCAAATCAATAGAACTTTTTACATGAGCAGCGAATTAGAAAACTATCTTCACAAACAATGGAAGCTAAATGTCACCTTTTAAGTACATGTTCGTTTTAGACAATCGGGTGAGTGTTGCTGGATATTTAGGCATCAACACAATCTAGTGGCAAAAAACTGCAGAGACTTTATATGACCCAATATATATATATATAAATTTACGCACACCCAGCCCCCTTTATATGTTAAAGTCCTTACTTGGCCTTTATTTTCACAATCATTGGTCATAGTCGTATTCTTACAATTACAGAAGTATTTTAAATGCTGAAAATATTCATGTGTTAACAATGTCAAATTTAAAAAAAAAAAAAAAAAAAAAAAAAAATAATAATAATAATAATTTTCAACAGAAAAAGAAATCTAACTTTTAATGGAATCTCCTGGTTCCTATACTTGTATTTGGGAAAGTTTTATATTCATTTTGGAAAAATAAAAATACAAGAAGTTTAACTCGCATATGACAAAAATTGATCAGGATATATGATTTCAAAAGTTGCAATTTTTGATGTCATTTTTGACTTGGCTTGAAAAAATGGTTAATTAAGTTAAAATGATGCAAAGAAATAAGTTTGAATGAAATGCTGCAAAAAATATATATGTTTTAATTGGCTGTACAAGAAGTCATGGTATCTACGTCAGACTTTTATTTATCCATAACTTCCATAAAAAGAGGCTTAATGCTGGCAAAGCTGGGTCTTTTTACAAAAGTGAGACTTATTATGTTTATACTGATTAAAGTTTTATATGTGAAGCATAACATATATATGTCTTCATACGTTTAACGTGTGAGGAGTCGGGAGGTGAAATTTGTAAATGCTGAGTAATGAAATAAATAGGCTAAAATTCATAGATTTTGCCTATGGAAACATTTCAAAGAAATTTTATTTAGTATTTTCTTGAGGCTGTGTTGAGGATAATTTTAGTAGATTGCATTAGAGGTCATGAATCATATATCTGAAAATAAATAAATAAAAATAATAAATGTTCTGTTACTAATTATTAGACTCTTTTTTTTTTTTTTTTTTTAGTTTACTTTTGGTAAAATTGTCAAGTTTTTTATATAATGAGGGAGCTTTCTTTCAGAGAGTCTTTCTTATTAATTTTATTTATTGCTTTTAATTGCAGTTTTCAGTATCGAATAATGTTTACTATCTTATAATTTTCTTTTTTTTTTAATGGGACTAATTCTGTAAAACTAAACAACTCTTGAAATTTAGTTGTAGCTGCATGGTTCAATTTAAAGAAATGTACCAGAAGTAGTACTTGCATGATGTAGTTTAATGAACCTATGTAATACTTCAATTTCTGTGTGAGTACAATTCTGTTCTGTGCAATACTTTAATTTCTGTATTAAAATTGTTGTCACGAAAAAGAACCTAATGAGCATGCTTTTGCACAGTGTGTTAAACATCTCTGAAAAAATGAAGATTATGATTTACCTGTTAATAAAACTGGGATATATCTATTCAAGTGTCCCTTTCATTATTTTTTAAAACTCAGTTTTTTAGTTTTAATCGTCGAAAACAATTAATTTACTAATAAAAAATCAATGATTTGTGTAAAAATTGCATTCAAGTAATAAAGGTAGTGAAACACAAATTTAAGTTTCATATAAAACACTGCATATAGTTCAACCCTTGAACAGATATGGTATGTACTTTTAAGAGGTCCATTTTAATCAAAGCTATGCTTCATTGGTAGTGACTAGATTATTCAGTTATGGCTATTTGCATATGAAAAGAAGCCTTTATAGAAGACTTAAAATAGCCTTTGTTTTACTTTACAGTTAAGAAAACTATTAAAATGTAATGCCTGTTCCATCAGGAATAGAACCTGAAGCATATTAGTTACATGGCTTTAGTCTTAGCCACTGGTTAGCTCAATGATTATACTTTTTGGAAGTCTTGTTAAATAGCAATAGATTATTGTTAGAAAGGATCTGCAGTTAGTTGTTCTGTTGAAAATACTATTCCACCATGCTTATGAACACTCATAAAGACAAGGTAGTTTCATTAGAACATCATTGAAAGGTGGTGTGGTGTATTTAATTATGGCAAAGCACACTAGGGCTATCTGCCTATGGGGAGGGATGCCTTCGTGGAGGACTTTCTAAGGGAAACTGGCTCGTATACACGTTACACTTGGGGAAAACCACGAAAACACCCATGCAGCCAGCCCGTTTGCGGGATTCGAACCTCGGATCGAACTACCAGTGTTCAGCGATTTTACCGTTTGGCCGCTGGTGGGCATCATCATTGAAAGGTACTCACATCATTATGAACGCTTCTGCATATAATTTTTTAATTGTCATAGATCATTTGATATTTTAGATAAGTTAAAAAGAAGCATGCTGCAAATTACTGCAGCAAACAATTTAATTGGTGTGTACATCAAATTAACACTGAAACATGTCTTATGTGATGGCATTGGACAGATTTAGTTCATTAAAGGTCAGATGTCAGTAGTAGCCTAAAAATCATAGGCGTAGCAATTAGAAAGACTGCTTTCAGACCATGGGCCAGCTTTAGCTCATCCGAGATGTAAACCAACAGCATTTATAGCTTGTGCAGTTTGAACATCGATTTCATTCTCAAAACAAACTGTTGTGAAATGTCACTGATGCTAGCTTTTTAGGGCTGCTTAGACATATCATTTCTTGGTTTTATTTATTTATTTACATTTTTTGCCAAAACTTTAGTCCTGCCTGTACATTTCCCATCCAGTCTTTCGAAGCTATCAGTATCGTAAAATGCTCTGCTTTGTTGGTTGACCATAACCGAATTTTAAATAAAAGCTGTATTAAGCCATGATTAAGATTGTCATTGTATGCTACAGTACATGAAATGTGTTTTTTTTGCTGAGAACCCACAATTTTGAAAACGAAGTACATTGTGAATTATGTATTAGTTAAATGTATTTGTTTGCTGATCATCTGCACCACCACACAATGTTGCCATCTGTTTAACAACTTTGTAAATTAACAAAAAAACATTTGTTTGGCTATCTTTACAACCCAGATACCAATCTGTTGATGAATACTAATAATAAAACATTTTATAAGAAATTAAAAAAAAAAAAATGATGGGGGAAACCTGTTTGTCCAATATTCCCCCCTTTTTTTCAGATTGTTGATTCTATTCAGTGAAATGGCAGCTTTATAAAGCATGTAAATCCACACTTACTCAAACACTTGCCATTGTACATGCATACATGCATTAGTTGGCTATTGTTGCATGTATACTCAAAAATACACCAAACACATGCCAATTCTACTACATGTTGAAACTGGGTGTCTGGTTAATTGAAAAGTACCATGTATACTAATTCGATTTACAGGAAACATTGATAGATAAAGTTTAATCTGATGCATACATAGGCCAAATACATTATTTATAATATTATGATTCTTTCTGATTTACCTTATATAGTAATTAATACATTAAAAAATTCTTAGTCCTAGGTAGAGTTTTCTGATGTGTACTAAGTAGAGTTTCTGGTCTTTAATATTTATCAGGAAGAACATGCATAGTTGTTTCTATATATTATTTTGAAGATTATTTTTATCTTTAATAAATTACAGTTTTAGTTTGTTGTGAATTTGTATTATATTGTTTTGACAAATTTCTGTGTAGTTTTAAAGATACAATGAAATTTATGTCGGCATAAGTCTGTAGCAATTTATGCACACACTGAAGAGCCAAAACATTATGGCCACCTACTCAATAATGTGTTGCGCAGCCTTTAGCCTGCAAAACAGCTGCAGGCATGGATGCCTCAAGTTTTTGGTAGATGACTGGAGACAAGCTGTACCAGCAAGTCATGTAAAAGTCGAGGTATTCCGACACGATGGCATTTGAGCTCTGAGCTGCCACTCCATGACATTCAAAATGTGCTCTTTTGGGTTAAGATCCGGCAAGCTAGGTGGTCAGAATGATAATTGGAATTCATCCGGGAGCCGTGTGACATAGGGCATTGTCCTGCTAAAAGATTCCATTTCCAGTTGGGAAGACAGATGCCATGTAACTGATTCACAGTTATGTTCAGATAGCCCGAAGCTTTCTTGGTCAGATCCACCACAATTAAGGGTCCCAGAGTCGTCCATGAAAATGTCCCCTAAAGCATAATACTGCCACCACCAGCCTGTGTATCACCTGTTGTACAGAGAGAGAGCAACTGTTCTGGAAGACAGTATACCCTGACACAACCATCAACATGATGAATGAGAAGTTGTGATTCATTCGATCAGACAACAGTCTTCCACTTATCCATGGTCCAGTCTCAATGTTTCTAGTCCCACTGTAGGCATAGTTGACAATGATGCTTGGTCAACAGAGGTACATGAGAGGCATATCTGCTGCGTAGTCCTATATCCAACAGTGTTTGCTGAAATGTGTGTTCCAAAACACTTGTACATGACATGCATTGTATTGAATTGTATTGAATCAGCTGAGCCACTGCTTGGTGTCGATTTTGCTGTATCAAACACAGGGCACTCTCCAAAGTCACTTTTGATGATGCGTGGATGTCCAACACCATGGCCTGCACTGGTTTTCCCGTCATTTATCCACTCTGCATAGATACAATGGCAAATCATAAACAACTTACCATTCGTGCAGTTACAAAGATACTCGTTGTGTCTTTGGGCCATTACAATCTGCCCTTTATCAAATTGACTTAGATCAGCAGCCTTTGCCCAATACTCATAAAAGTCAGGGCAAGAATGATTCGTTACCTTCTCCAGTAGAAGTTAAATATCATTCTCACCTAATCATGTGCCCTCCACATCATCTAGACGAGTCCATTGAACAACGTTGGCATGATCATAATGTATTGGCTAATCAGTGTATATGTTGCATAAAAATAATCAGTTTTTATTTTGTTGTATATATATATATATCCATATCTTGAATCCTAATGTTAAAATTATAAGGACCTATAGCAGAAGTATGAGGTGTTTTATTAGGACATATTATTTAAACCTTTTTAATTTATATTCCTTTTTCTAATTACATGAAATTTTATTCATAGTCCTGAATCTCCAAAAAGAAATTTAAGAGATGCAGATGCTAGAGGTAGACAGTTTCGGCAAGCCTTAAATGACCTCCATGCTAGCAGGAAGCTGCATAATACTAGCCCTGTACGTGGAGACAAACACCACAGTTCTCCTATACGAAGTAAAATAGTTGTAAAAGGTAGCATTTCAAAGGATGTTGAAGAAAGGTTAAATGAAAGAGATAGCTACAGAAGAGTAAGTGATAGAAGAAGCCGCAGAGATTCTACTCCTGAAAGAAAATCTTATTCAAACTATTTAGAATCAAATTCACGGAAAAGAAAATTATCAGATTCCCACTCTTTGCAAAGAAAAGAAGAAAAAGATGTAAGAAAGCACAAACCTGAGCCAAAATCTGAGAAAGAAAGTTTGAAACAAAAGAAGAGATTCAAAGAACTGGAAGCAGATTTATTCAGGTATCAAAAACAAAAATATGATTATGAAAGTGATGAAGATGATACCCAACCACAAATAAACATAGATAAGCATTTAGATACGCCAAATAACAGTGAAATTGTTAATGATGTACCTGAGCAAAAATCTGAGAAAGAAATTTTGAAGCAAAAGAAGATATTCAATGCACTGGAAGCAGATTTGCTCAGGTACCAAAAACATAAATATAACAATGAAAGTGATAAAAGTGATGACACAGAACCACAAGTAAGTGTAGAAAAAAGTGTGAATTCACAAAATGTTAACTGTGAAATTATTCATGACGTACCAAGAAATAAGAAGGATGCTTCTAGTCATATTTTGAATGAAAAATCAGGAGAAACAAAAGAAAACAATAATTTAGTTTCACAGGAGATCATTAATGGTAATGAGTGCAATTTAAAATTTGTATTTTTTTCACCGAAATCCCCATCTCCAACATATGCCACAACATATTTATCAAAATCTAAATCTGTGGCAGAAAATTCTCAGTTTGATCTGGCTGAGAGTGAAGAACGTAAATCTGTGGAACGTACTACTGAATTAACTAATTCACTTTGTCCTCAGAATATGGAATCTCTTAGCAGCACAAATGACAATAACAAAGCTGAGGAAGGTACCATGTCAGAAGAAAAGCCATTTGAAAATAATATATCCAGTGTTTCTCATGAAAGTTCATCTCAGTCTGTCATTCCTAGTAAATCAAATGAAGAAAAAGGTGAAATTCAAAAGTATGAAACTTTTAAAGTTAATCAGTTGGATACAGTGTTAAATGAAACAAATTCTGAGTCTCCACTAATACAGAAAGCTACTGAAACTACGAAAAACATCGCTGAACCAGTTCCTACCGTTTTTCATCCATCTCCTTTTGAATACCGGCTTCCAGATATTATTCCGTTGCCAGAGGAAAGTAAGTTTCAGGCTGAAATTTCCAATGCTGCCACTGATACTTCTGCAGAGAAAACAGAGAACATGACAGCTGAAGTTTTTGACAGTGAAAGTAGTCGACATTTTTCTTCTGAAAAAAATTTAAAGAAGAATAAAAGCCCCGTGCATGAGGTGAGTTTTAAATTTTTTGTTAGTTTTCATGTTTCCTCCCCTCACAGTTAATATTATAAAAATAATAATAATTATCAATAATGGATAATATTCAACTTGTGTTTTTCATTGATACTCATTTTTTCCCCCTTTCTAGAAATCTTTATACGCTGTAGTACATTAATCTTCTGTCAACATGTATATGCATGCATTGACTTTTTCTTGATTTAAAATGTTGTCATCATTGCCAGAAATTATTGATATTATATTATTGAATATGATGATTCATTCTTGGGCCCAGCGGTGATCTTTAATTAAAAAAAAGGGGGAGCTTTGGCTTCAATAATAATAATAATAATAATAACAACTTAAACTATTTTAATCAACTTTCCATTTTTTATTTTCCTCAGTAATTCCCCCTGCCCCCAATGATGGGCACAAGTCCTCACTTTATTATTGAGACATGTAATAGGTGGGCCATCATTGTCGCCTATGAAAGGAGAGACAATTTGCACCTACGCCATCTCCGGTATTCGAACCCGGGCTGTGGAGTACGGCGATGCGAATCACTAACCACTTTCCTGTCTGGGCGGCTTCCTCAGTAATGTGATAGATTTAATTTTATGAAAGACATTAATTCACAAATTCTTAATTTTACATAAAAGAAAAATTAGATTTAACATATTTATGGTTTTTATATTTAAGGATTAACTTATGTTTAAGAAGATTGGGATGTGACATTCCAAAAACTATAAAGCTTAAGAAATGGAATGGATTCTGCCAATTACAAAAATATAAAAAGTGTATGCCTTTTGTCTGAATAAAAGGACTTCTATATGTGGATATTATATACCAGGGATGGCCAAATTTCAAGACGATGGGAGCCGCATGATAGATTTTAGGAACATTTCGAGAGCCGCAAGTCCAAATTTATATCATTTTAAAAATAATGAGAGAGTTTTTTAATATAAAGAAACTGCTGAAGTAAATTACTGAATATGTGATTAATATTATTACATATAAATATGAATAAATACATGTTATGTCTACTGTTTTGTGTTCAGAAAAATTAAATCCCAAGAAAATAAAAATTTATAACTCTTGTACTGGGCAAATGTGCGTTTTTTCTTCAGGTAGAGAAATCAAATATTTTCTTCTGATTTCCTTTATCTCTCTGCTTATAATCATTGTTGTTTTGTTTTAGTAGAAGTAAAATGAATCGGAAGCATATTCATTGGTCTACACTTGCATTAAAAATGTTACTATTTGAGTAAATTAGAAATCCTTAAATCGTTTAGAAAGAATAAATTAAATGATATACTTCAATGCGCACTTCAGAAAAAATGTTATTCAAGAAAGCTTTTTTTTTTTTTTTTTTTTTTTTAAATAAGCTATTAACTTGTTTAGGCTTTTGCTTAAAAAGTAATTTTGTTTCTCCACACAATTAATATAAGGACCACCATACTAAGATTATTCGAATCTTTGGATTCTAACCTTAAATCATTAAAATTTTTTCCCCAGACTTTCGAATAACTACTTTTACCTAGTATAGAAGAATTTACCAAAAAAAGAATATGATTGCAATTTCAGTGGTATTTAAATAATCAATATTTCTCATGACGGCCCTGACTGATACAATATTTCAGCGTGCCAGAATTTTGTCAGTAATCAGTACACTGTGCATCATTGAAAATTCTCGAAACTATAGTACACTGTGCATCATTGAAAATTCTCGAAACTATCTCTTGAACTGTCCCGAAAATTTTAGCCGTATATAATGAAGTTGAAGCGCATAAATGAAAATTCTTGAAACTATCTCTCGAATTGTTTAAAAAATTTTGGGCATAGATAAGGAAATTCATGCGCATTATTGAAAATTCTTGAAAGTATCTCTGGAATTCTCCTGATAATTTTAGACATAGATAACAAAGTTCATGCACATTTTTAAAAATTCTCGAAACCACCATTTGAATCATTACGATAATTCTGGACATACTTAACCTATTCCTAATAAATCTAGTAGTTCATGCCGGGCTATATAAACACTTTCTAAAGTGCGTGTTCTATCTCTCTACCATCCAAACTTTTTAACCTAGATGTTTAATTCTGGGCAGTTTTTAAAATGCATGGCAAATCAAAACCAATGTTACAGAAAGAAAACATATCTGTCCCTACTAAAAAGCTTAAAATGAATTTATTTCGCAAATGTAGCTGTGACATGTTCACGTGTGACTCTTCATATTTCTATTAATCTTTTCTTCATCTTTTGTAACACGGTAGATGGCGGCACAATAGTGTAGTTCCTAAGCTCTAACCAAATAGGTGTATGCATCCACTATATTCTAACCGTTGGACCCGTAAAGCGATCAAGTGACTTACCATCTTGCCTTGAATATCTAAGTAAAATAACTCAGAAGAAAGCTTAAAATAAATTAAAGTTGCATAGTACAACTTAGCTTTTAACTAGAGCTTTAAGTTTCATGTTAAAGAACATTAGGAATGCTAGCATATGTTAGGAAAAAGGAAACACAGAAGTCCTCTGTTGCTCAGCATTGTTAGTTCAAAAATCACACTTTCCATTTTTCTGCAGCCAAAATTATTCAAAAAACATGTTCCGTTGTTGAATAAGGTCTTCTAAAGGCCTTTCACATTAAAAAAAATCTCTCTGTTCTAGTTAGCGACCCTAATTCCAATGCATATTTACCTTCAGCCTTTAAGGAAATTATGTTTTAGTTTTCTTGTTTCATCAATAGATGGTGCCAATAGCTTAACTCCTGTCCAACCATTCTTATCTAATCATTATATCTTATTTCGTTCATTTGCTCTTTGGCAGCTGAGAATGATGGTTCGGTAAAAACATCGAAACTAGTCCAGTGAAAAATTGCAAATATAACGCTGATATTTGTTGTTTCACTTCTAAATTAATATTTGTTCGGCATGTAAGTATGCCTGTATGTATGGATGGATGTGTTCATGAATGCATATATATACGTATATATGTGTGTGTACACACACAGATACGTACATGCACACATGCAATACTTACATGCATTTCTGATCGTCTTGATAACAGAAGAGTACCAAATTTCCTTACTGCCCACCAGTTTTACAGTAACTAATTTAGTGCAGCTGCAAGGTAATTTTTTGAGTGGAGGTTTAATAAAAAATATGTAGTTGAATCTATCCACTTATTTATACTTTGCATTATGTTTATAATAGACATAAATTTATTAAAAGAACAGCTTAAGTTGAAGAAAATGAAAATTAAATGTAAAAATTTTAATTAATTATTAATGGGATTGTTAGAGCTGATGCTGCAAGGCTAATATTTGGTACCTGGTTCAGTCCTGTATCAAACAAAAGATCTTTTTTGGCAGTATTCAGATGCTTTCTTTGTTAGGTCATGATATAATTTAATAGCGCTAAACCTTGATTCTACGATATATGAAGTAGAGAAAGGTATCAATAAATTAAATGTTATTTTTTGTATGTTTGGTATAATGCAAGTACTTTTCTATTTTCTTTTCTTTTCTTTTCTTTTTTTTTTTTTTTAAAAATTTGAAAAAGATGAAGACATTACAGTTAGTTGTTCTCTTAATCTTTTTTTCCCTGCTAAGTTATTGCACATTTTGATTTAAAAATAGCATTTTAGTGGTGCCTTGTAAGAGATAAATAACTGACTAGAAGCAGTAGGTGGCATATTACAGTATTATTACAGGGTGGTGGTGGTGGTGGGACAGTTCGATATCTCCCGTTTTACTGGGTCGATATTTTTACATATTTCAATTCTACGATTCAAATTATGCCAGACTGCCAAGTTTTGTAAAAATCGTATCAGTAGTTTTTAAAAAATTAGCTCTCAAAATTTTACCTCCTCAATTTAATTGATTTTGGCATATATTTATTAATGTCTTTTTTTACTAAATGTTTTTGATTTTTCCTTTCACATTTCAAAATTTAGGTTCATTCCAAATAAAATTCCCTCTTCTTTGTGTTTATTTTAAAAATTTCTATTTTTAAATAATTTTTTATAAATTTTTCAAAAAAAAAAAATTTGAATTATAACCTATAAAATTTTTACCATCATCTTAAAGTAGGTGTATTTTTAAGCATATCTGCAAAAAATTAGACTTTTTTATTCAAAATTTTCTAAGATATACACGAATTGAAATATTTTCGCATTTTGAAATTTGACATCTTTTTTTTTTAGCAATAATAACGGCAAATGTGGTTCATGGATTTTTGTTACAGTGAATTGCCACAGCTATTTTTAACCTTAAATTTTGAATAAATTTTTACAGAGAATTAATTATATGAAATTTTTTCCCTCAGTCATGCACAATAAATATTTATTAATACTATATGAAAAGCTAATTTTTTAAAATTATAGATGATATTATTCAAATTTTAAACTTTTTTTAAATTTCTTTTTCTTTTTTTTTTTAATATTTGTAAGAGTAAATTTTTACCTTCACCGTGTTATCGTCTTCTACTTTACTTTGACTGCATTTAAATTGAATTGTCTAAAACTGAGAAAGTTTGTTTGATGTTTATTTTCACAATGTTTTTAAGCAAACAGGACGTTGATAGTTTAGGTTATGTCCCAGCTTTAAAAGTTATATATATAAGTATAAATTTTTACATTAATCCTCTTTGAAAGAATGTTTTAAGTAGCTAATTTTCACTCGTGTTATAGACTGTATAAAAAACATAATCTTTAATATGATTTAGATTTTTTGTAGCCGATATTATAATCAGGTCACTCAGTGGTACAGAATAAACATTGCTGGACTGTTTTATTTCTTTGTCATTTAGCAAAAAATCTTTTAATTAAAATATTTATCCTTTGGACTTTGCTTTAAACTTTATTTATAGTTCAAATGCCTATAAAATGAAAAGCTGTCTTCAACTGAAACACAGTTGATGTAATTGATATTTTTTTAAAAAAATGACAAGAATGCAAAATTTATGGAAGTGTAACAATCGAAAAAACGTAATTTTTCTTAATTTTCACTGAAAAT